AACCACCCTTGAGGAAGGCCTCTGGGACCTCTAAGGTCCGGGGTGGGGGAACCTCCTCCAGGTTTGTGGTTTCACAGGTAGAATAGAGAGCTCTGCGCCTGGATTGGGCAACGTCTCTTCTAGGTTTTGCCTTCCTTCTCCTCCTTGTACCTCCATTTGGGGGAAACAGAAGTCAGCTTTGGGGTACCCCACTTTCCCTTTGTGAAGATTAGTGTCTTCCTGGTCGGTGATCAAGTTGGCTTGTCTTTACAGGAGGAAGTGGAGGTTCTCTAAGATGTGAGGCCGAGACCGAGTGTTCTCATATTTTCGTGCTTTGTGTTCCGTGATTTCTTTCCCCCAGGGTTTCCTGTTGTTGTTTTTGCAGATAGGATAATGAATTTCTTTGTGGGGCAAAAAGATAAAAGTTTTCCATAAAATGCACGGAGGATAAAATGCACAGAGGACTGGAGAACTACTTATGAACTCTGGACTGGAGGGGCATCTTGAAAATCATGACAGAATGTGAGATAGGAAGTATAATCATGAACTGAACTGATTTTCTTGGATCCTGGTTTCTGAACAGCTTATTTTATAGTATAAGCATACTAAGTATATGGTTATCATATTGTCTAATCATTTTAGATGTATGGAATATGTTAATCCAGCTTTTATTGGTTGTGAATTAGGAAGTACTCATATTACCAAAATGGCATTATAAGGAAAAGCTGCCATGATCTAATGTAATGCCAAATTACGACCTCCTCATTTCTTTCTTTATGACACAGGAAATCCGGGATCCTCTTATGCAGTGGCTTGGGAAACACGTGGACGCCGAGGGAGAAATAAAATCCAGCCAGCTCTCTCTTAGATTTGTTTCATCCTACGTGTCTGAAGTAGAAATAACCCCATCTTGTATACCTGTAGTGACCAACATGGAGGCCTTCTCATCAGAAAATTTCAACTTGGAGATCTATCGCCAAAATCTGCAGACCAAGCAGTTGGGGAAAGTAATTTTGTTTGCCGAAGTGACCCCCACAACGATGCGTCTCCTGGATGGGTAAGGTGTGAGCAGGCCTCCTGCATCTGCTCGGAGGAATCCTGTTCCGTTGAGCATCCTCTCTTACCAACAGTGAAGGAGGGGATAGAGTTGTAGAGGAATGCATTTGACGAGACCTATTAGCAAGGCGGAAGTACTCTTGTCCCAGAAGAGTTAAATTGTGGAGAAGAAAGGTGAAGTTCTTTGATCACAGATTTGTTTTTTATGGGAATGGAAGGTGGTTGGTTGTGCTTTGTGTCTTGCTTCCTTGAATCAGGCCTTCAAAATGTTCTTTGATAAACTGATATGAAAAAATATGTGTAACCGGTGGCATTATTGCTCAGGTTATCATTCTTCTTTTGTGCAGTTACAATCAGTGTTAGACATTTAATTTAAGATGTTTTTCAGGGGCATTTGAATAGGAAGTTTGAATGGCATCTAAGCTGTGTAAATTGAAAAAAGTCAGAGCTTTGTATTTTGAAAAGTGTTTTTAGTACATTGCTATCCAATACTTTTATTTATTTATTTATTTATTTTTGGAAACAGGATCTTGCTCTGTCACCCAGACTGGAGTCCAGTGGTATAATCGCGGCTCACTGCAGCCTCGACCTTCTGAGCTCGAGGGTTGCTCCTGCCTCAGCCTCCCAAGTAGCTGGGACTATAGGCACACGTCACCATGCCCAGCTAAGTTTTGTGTTTTTGGTAGAGACAGGGCTTCTCCATGTTGCCCAGGCTGGCCTCGAACTCCTGGGTTCAAGTGATCCTCCTGACTCAGCCTCCCAGAGTGCTGGGATTTTAGGCGTGAGCCACCATGCTCAGCCCCAGTACCTTTTCTAAAGCAGTCCATAACCCCATTTGGATATTTGAAATTTACTCTTATTGCAAGTTTTCCTTTTGATTCCTTCTGTTATGTAGACTCTGACTAAAGATTAAAAAATGGAAAATAAAGGAATTGTTTTAAACTCCCCAATAGTACTAATACTATTTTAGTTTTAAAAATTGGGGTATAGGCTGGGCACGGTGGCTCACTCCTGTAATCCCAGCACTTTGGGATGCCGAGGCGGGCGAATCACGAGGTCTGGAGATCGAGACCATCCTGGCTAACACGGTGAAACCCCGTCTCTACTAAAAATACAAAAAATTAGCTGGGCGTGGTGGCGGG